CCTCCACCACGCGCTTGCCCCGACCGGATCGGGCCGGACTCCCCCATGCTAGCCTCATCCTGGGCTTCCCCTCGCCGGAGATCCTCAGGCCTCCTTTGCGTGCGCCCACACGCCGTCACGCCATGTCAGAGCACCTGTGCCTGCGGAGTGGCGGAGGCATGTGCCTGCAATGACGAGGGAAGGAGAAGGCCAGGAGAGTCCCCTCGCTCGAGGCCGCAGGGGCATTGCTGTTCAGTTTTTTGTTCTTGTTTTTGCTATTGAAAATCTTCAGTGCGCGGCGAGGGATGGCTCCGGGGCTCCTCCGGCGTCCTCCGGTGCCTGATTTCCTCCACTTCCTCTGTTGTGCAAGTCCGACAGCACTCCCAGCGTTGATGCAGCTCACTTCATCCCGTATCGGGTGGTTTTTTGTTCAAACTGCAGCTCACTTCGTCACAGCGTCTGGCAACAGCGTGAGGGTGCGGGCGCCCCTTCCCTGCAGTTTGGCGATTCCACCTCCACAAATGAGGTCGTCAAAAGTTGAAGAGCGGCCAGTGTGGTGCCCCTTTCCAGTTTCCAGTGATCACATCATGCAGTGCTGTCGAGTGTGGCGAGCGGTGCAGCTAGACCTAGTGTGCAGTCTACGGCCCTCACGCGCAGGTCTCTCCTGTGCTTGTTCGCGCGCGGAGGTAGACAAGTGCACTGCAGTAGGGTGGCCGGCGACATACTTATCTTTTTTAGTAGTTAACTTTTGCATTATGTTCTAATTTCACCATGTTTGTGGTTCCTTTGTGGCATCCTGCAGTACAGATTGCAGGTGCATGCAGTTTTTTAAATGCAGAGATAAAAATGATGGTTAGAGCATCGTTATAATAAAAAGAACATTAATGTAGTTAAATTAATGAAGTTCACTTGCTCAGTCCCCGCGGTCCGTTCGCTCGGTCTACGCACGTAAAAAAATATTGAGTTTGGAAAAAACTCATGCGGTCTGTTTACGGTAGTCTTGAGGTTCACGTTTCATAATATTGCGGTTCACCAACGCTCGACATAAAGTGCACTCCATCTTGTTTGGAAAAATTTACGTCCCACAAAACAAATCATGCAGTCCTGTTAGCCCGTCTGATGCAGTGCGGTTTTCAGTCTAAAAGCAGTGCGGTTTTCTTTCTCGTCTTCAAAAATTTACGTCCCACCAAAAGGAAACCATGCAGTTCTCTTTCCCGTCTAATGCAGTGCGGCATTTCCTCAGATGCAGTGCGGCATTTCCTCAGATGCAGTGCGGTTTTCAGTCGGATGAAGTACGCACGTCGATTTGGGTGTCGCGAAAAACAGAGTGCCCGCATTTTGGTAATTTGAAAACTGCTCTTAAACCGTAATGAATTACAGAGAGTGTTTTACATGAAAAAGTTGCGTCTCGTCGATATCTTTCCAACGGTGTATGATTTGAATTATTCCGACCAGCCGTTCGTAAAAATTTCGTGAAAAAACAGCCGCTGTCTCTCGAAGTTAGCCGCACGATTTTCAAAATTAACTAAAAATTGTAAGGAATCTCAAAATCATTTCAATGTATGAAAGTTGCGCCTTGTCCGTAGCTTTCCAACGGCGTATCATATGTCTCGTTTCGACAAACGGTTAGAAAACTGGAGCAAAAACAGTACCGAAAATTTTAAAAAATTTGAAAAACAGAGATCCGCGATTTAGTAAATTTGAAACTGCTCTTAAACCGTAACGAATTAGAGAAAGATTTATATATGTAAAAGATGCGCCTCGATGATATCTATCCAACGTTGTATCGTTTGCTTCATTCCGACAAGTGGTTTAGAAAAAAACGCAAAAAAAACCCTCGCTGCCACTCGTCATCCGCCGCACCATTTTCAAAACTGCTCTTAAACCGTGTGAAATCTCGAAAAGTCTTCAACATGTCGAAGTTGCGCCTAATCCATAGCTTTTCAACGGTATATTACACGCCTCATTCTGATAAACGGTTAAAAAATTAGAACGAAGACAGTACCGAAGAAATAACGCGTGCAGTTTTTTCCGACGAGAAGTTCACTAGTCTCTATTGCAGTGCTCCTCGTCA